AAAACTTAAATGCTTGGAAACTAAACACCCATAGTTACGCCATCATCAACCCAGTTAGAATACCAACCTTGTATGGGCCCACCACGAAAATAAGCGCCATCAAAGCATACACTCGCCTCAGGATCGGACACACCATCCTAACTCACTCTAATATACTTATTGGAAAATCCCGTTCTAATTGCCCTTTTTGTGACAACTCCGTATCAATTCAACACATACTAGCAGACTGCCCAGTGATCCACTCAACAACACACTACTCTGACAACATTGACTTAGTAGATGCATTAAAAAATCCCTCAGATAAAAACGTAATGATTACATATAAATTTTTAAAACATACTTTATTGTATAAATGATTATAAAAAAAAAAATAACTACCACGCCCACAAAGCGCCATAAAATGAAAAGCTAGTTGCAAGACTATGAAATGTTCGATTACGACCTAACTTAGCCTTCCTTACTAGTTATTTTTCTAAATAATCGGAAAACTTAGTCCCTTTGGTCCCACCATGCAAACTAAATGTTCTAGTAGCGACGTTTTTCCAAAAATTTAGAGTGATAACGATATTCTGATGTAATCTTTTTGTTTATTCTGAGTTCATTGTGAGCTTCCTTTAGAATAAATCCGAAAAATCCAGAAACTTCTGTATTATTTCGTGACTGCGGGATGTTATTTGAATCTAAAAGAGTAGCAAAAGTTATGTAAAATTGTCTGAATTATTCACGAAAGGAATCGATTTCTTGGTTTGTTACATTGAATTGGGGATTTTAAAAGCTTCAAAGTAAATTGGTTTTATTTTCTCATTTTGCGTTCTATAAACTCCGTATCGGTTTTGTTGATCGAATTTTCTTTTACACAACAAGAAGTTAATTTTCTGAGCATGTCTTCCAATCGACTATAAAGATCTTGTATTTTAGGAATTTTTGATTGAAATTACATACTTGTTTTGCACACTGTAGGTAGACTGCAATTCCAAAGGCTACTAAAATTTATAGAAAAAAAACACATAAGTATATGTAATGCACTGTATTGCTCAAGAACATGTTTGACTGCAGAAATTAACTATAGCCACCTAATTTTCGTGATTTTCAAAATTACATATTTTATATATACAGAAAATATAATAAATTCGAGTAAATAATAAAATTCGGGTATAAATCTTCACTACCTGTTGCTGGTTCGAAAAAATATTCATAGATCTGGCATCACTGCATAAATAACATAAACATTGCATATACTTTTTGAACAAAATATTTTTATATGCATAATGTATTTTTGTTGTGATTTTTAGTACGAAGTTACATATATTTATATTTTTATAAAAATTACATACCAAAAATAACTCCTATTGACAGCAAAATTATAAAAGGTCTTCTTCGCCCCATATTTAGATTACAGCGATCGCTCATCGAGCCTAAGAAAGGGCAAGCAATGAACCCTATCAATGGTGATAAAGCCCATACTAAAGTCATATGTTGATGGTCAATACCAATTTTTAGCAAAGTTGGTGAAACGAAGGCAGTTTCAGCGGCATACGAGAACTCAATGCCCATAACAGCTGCAGAAATCCTTACGAACTCCATGCGAGTTTTATGTCTGTAAGATATTTTAAATAATATATTTGTATATTAGTAAAGGACTAAATTGGGAGAAAGTAAAATAAGAAATTTAAAGGCARAAAATAGGTTTAGGTATTGCCAAAATTTTATATCATACTAAAAGAGAATCGCTAACTTCGGAGAAATATTTTCAATTATTTTCAAACCTTATGGTATATGAAACAACTAAGAAAGGGCTAGGTTCAGCTGTAACCGAACACTTTATATTCTAAACTACCAGAGACAACTTTATGAAAATAAGATTTCTAGTATTTAGTAGGAATTTGAGATAATTCGTGGACCGTTTTAAAACATGTTCATAGTTAAACTGCAGCATATTATGTCCAATATAATGCATGCATTTAATTTTGTTAAGGCTTAGTAGTATAGGCTTTTGAACGTTTTAAAAATATCTCATATGTTCACCGGTATATTCGGCATACAGTCAACCGGAAGTTCGGAAATCTCATTTGTCTTGGCCCAATCCTGCCAATCTACAATACCAAGCGATGGATTACGTATAATAAGCTTCATCAAGTTATGTACTTTTATACTCTTGYATTGATAATTTTCTCCACCTAACGTTTGTATGTATCACACAAAACTAAGCGAGATAGATGTAGGATTATATAAATATATCAGGATGACGAGAAAAGTTGAAATCAGGGCGACTGTCTGTCTGTGCGTCCGTCCGTGCAAACTGTAACTTGAGTAAAAACTGAGATCTCTGGTACGCGGCTTTTTTTTTTGGTGCAAACAAATTTCGTTTTCGTAGATGGGCGTAATCGGACAACTGCCGCGCCTGCTAGTAAGGAACACCTATGGCAAAAAAATTTTATAAAGTGGTTAATTAGTTAAATGAAAACATCTCCTAAATTACTTACTGAGCGCAAATATTATCAGAATTCCTACCGACCGTGTGGAAATGGATCGGAAGATATCCGCTGACACCCCTATAACGGTACTAATGATAACTACTACTAACTAAATAACTAATTACCAAGAACATTAAATTTTTCTTTAGAAATGGTACGAAATTATGCTTATCTTGCTTTATGGGAGCTGGTGTGAACATTAAATGATGGGCGTGGCACCGTCCACTATTTGGATAAATTACATACCTCGGGACCCTACAGATTGATATGTCAGGTTCCTATTTCAGAGTGTGAACACGCCAACTTATCATATTTTTTTATTACAAACATCTTCAAGACTTTAACAATGTTTGATATTACTACAACTAGTTTCAAAAACTAACAAGCACTTTGATTTGAATAACTTAAAAACAAATTGCATAGAAATTAAATATGGTTTATAATTAATTCCTTTATATTTTAGCTTCCAACTAAGCTACATATGTGTTTTTTTTCGACATAATCGACTAGAGCGGCATGTGTCAAAAAAAAAGATGTTTCGCCTACTCGTTCTCATGTGCATTAAACCTTTTGTAGTGGGCATCTGCCTGATTCCTTATTCTTCGGCGACTGTATTCAAGAGGAGTCATGTGTGGAAATTCACGYAAGTGAGGAAAGTTCTCTGATCGCCATTCACTTGAGAGTGGGCAGAAACGATTCATTTTCATGTGACTCAAGCATCTCATGACTTCCGGTCTTTGACCAAGTATCCTCTGGGTAGCCTAAGAACATCCGTTTGAAGGSGAGCTATAGTGAGAAGGGACCCTACATAGGGAAAAGGAACAACCAGCCTCGGATGAGAGACCCCCCTTTTGATGACGACCATGGCAAACGAAATAAAGACTACTAGGGCATTCACCTAAAATGTCCGGTCCCATAATTGCGAAGGCGCCGCTGCCCAGCTTGTTGATGTCATCGTGAAAATAAAGGCTGACAACATCGACATCCAAAAAATTCGATGGACGGAACAAGGACAGAGACGAATAGGTCCTTGTGGCATTTACTACAGTGGCCATATAAAGGAGCGCAAGTTTGGTGTGGGATTCGTTGTAGGAGAGAGACTCCGTCGCCGAGTACTATCACTCACTCCGGTGAATGAATATCTAGCCACAATCCAAGCGAGGTTCTTTAACATATCGCTGATTTGCGCCCACGCCCCGACGGAAGAGAAGGACGATGTGACCAAAGATACCTTTTATGAGTGCTTGGAGCGCACTTATGAGAGCTGCCCCCGCCACGATGTCAAAATCGTGCTTGGCGACTTTAACGACAGGGTGGGCAAAGAAGGTATCTTTGGAACTACGGTCGGTAAATCYAGCCTCCACGGCGAAGCATCCCCAAATGGGTTGACGCTGATCGACTTCGCCGGTCCCCGAAATGTGGTTATMTGTAGTACCAGCTTACAACATAAGAATATTCATCAAGCTACCTGGCTGTCTCCGCATCGAAAGGTGATTTAGTCACCGATGCCCAGAGCATACTTAAATTATGGAGGGAGCACTTCGCCAGCCTGCTGAATGGCAGTGAATGCACAACGCCACTAGAAGGCGAACCCATAAGAAGGACCATAAAGAAGTTCGAATAGCAATTACCCGACTGGAGAACAACAAAGCGTCGGGGCCGATGGATTGCTGGCCGAGCTATTCAAACACGGCGGCGAAGAACTGATAAGGAGCATGCATCAGCTTTTTTGTAAAATATGGTCGGACGAAAGCATGCCCTCCTCAAGAAAGGAGAACCCACAATTTGCTGCAACTACCATGTAATACGTCTTCGCAACATCGCATATAAGGTTCTATCAAGCGTATTGTGTGAAAAATTAAAGCCCACCGTCAATAAACTGATTGGACCTTATCAGTGTGGCTTTAGRCCTGGCAAATCWACAACCGACCAGATATTCACCATGCGCCAAATTTCGGAAAAGACCAGTGAAAAGAGAATCAACACACACCACCTCTCCGTCCATTTCAAAGCTGATGTCGACAGCACGAAAAGTAGCTGCCTTTATGCCGCGATGTCTGAATTTGGTATCCCAGCAAAACTTAAACGACTGTGTAGCTGACGTTGAGCAACACCAAAAGCTCCGTCAGAAAAGGGAAGGAATTCTCCGAGCCGTTCGGTACCAAACGATGTTTCAGACAAGGTGATTCCCTATCGTGTGACTTCTTCAACCTGCTTCTGGAGAAAATAGTTCGAGCTGCAGAACTAAATAGAGAAGTTGCTATCATCTATAAGAGTGTAGAGTTGCTGGCGCATGCCAATGATATTGATATAATCGGCCTCAACACCCGCGCCGTTAGTTTGCTTTCTCCAGGCTGGACAAGGAAGCAAAACAAATGGGTCTGGCAGTGAATGAGGGCAAGACGAAATATCTTTTGTCATCAAACAAACAGTCGTCGCACTCCCGACTTGGCACTCACGTCATTGTTGACAGTCATAACTTTGAAGTCGTAGATAATTTCGTGTGCCTTGGAACCAGCGTAAACACTACCAACAATGTCAGCCTAGAAATCCAACGCAGGATAACTCTTGCCAACAGGTGCTACTTCAGACTGAGTATTCAATTGAGAAGCAAACACCTCTCTCGACAAACAAAAACCAAACTCTATAAGTCACTCATAATTCCCGTTCTGCTATATGGTGCAGAGGCTTGGACGATGTCAACAACGGATGAGTCGAAGTTGCGAGTTTTCGAGAGAAAAGTTCTGCGAAAGATTTATGGTCCTTTGGGCGTTGAGCGGAACGATGAGCTGTATAAGATATATGAGGACATTGACATAATTCAGCGATTTAAAACAYAACGACTACGCTGGGTAGGTCATGTTGTCCGAATGGACGAAAGTATTCGACGCTGTACTCGCCGGGAAAAGCAGAGGAAGAGGAAGACCTCCACTCCGTTGGAAGGACCAGTTGGAGAAGGACCTGGCTACGCTTGGAACATCCAATTGACGCCACGTAGCGAAAAGAAGAAACGACGACCGCGCTGTTGTTAACTCGGCTATAATCGCGTAAGCGGTGTCTACGACAATTAAGAAGAAGAAGTATTCATCCTTAGGTATCGATGAATATCAGCATTTCTGCTGTACCAGGGAGCATTTGCAACGCCTCTTAGCACCTTGTTTTGAAAACGTTGTATAATATTAATACTGTCATGATTGGCACATCCCCTCAGTTGCGCACCATATGACCATACCGGCTTGATTATTTGTTTATAAAGAAGTAATTTGTTGTGTATGGACAGGTTTGACCTTCGCCAAATTAGCCATTTCATTTTCGATAATTTCAGATTAATTTCAATCCTTTTTGTTTTAATATGATGCCATAATTAGCTGTATTTGCGTATGGTATGCAGACATCTAGAGTACTAATAGGTTGATAAGTGATTCTTTTGTTTGTAAAATTTACATGAACTGGTTAGTCACCCTTTAAATTTATTCCCCATTTTTTAGTCCATCTTACTACAGAGTTGATTGCATGTTGAAGGTTTAGCGCAGCATTTTCTGCTGTTTTTTCGACGCATAGTATTGCGGTGCCATCAGCAAAAGTGRCAGTCATACTGTTTGATGCTAAGGGTAAATATCTTGTATACAGAATATATAAAAGTGGACCTAAGATACTTCCCTGAGGAACTCCTGCTTCAATTTCTTTTAGTGTAGAGAATTCATTTCCTTGTTTTACACGGAAAAATCTCATGGTGATATACGATTCTAAAAGAGCACAATACTCAACCGGAAGACATGATTTTAGCTTATGCAGAAGACCTTCGTGCCATACATTGATAAACGCTTATGCAACGTTAAGGAGCATACGTTTCCCTCGTTCACTGATTTTTCTATTTCTGATGTTATTCTGTGAATTTGTTTTATTGTTGAATGCTTATTTCTAAAACCGAACTGATGCGATGGGATTAACTACTTTTCGTTGATTAAAGATTTTAATGTAAGATAAATTAATTTTTCAAATAGTTTTTAGATTTGTAGAAGTAGTGAAATTGGCCTATATGACGAGACTTCGGTTTTAGTGGTGCAACGTGACTTGTTGGACGTTTCAGATACTTTGTACTTTTCCAAAGTGAGTAATCATATTTTCTGTCAGCGGATTGTTGAGATAAATATTTACTAATTGACTCATTCTTAATATGAGCAATTCCTCGTTTTAATTCTGCTGTTGCCTTATTAAGGTTGTTTTTGTCGAGTGGTGAGCGGGTTTGTTTCCATTTCCGTCGTAACTTTATTTTCTTAATTAGAAGGATGTTTATTTCTTTAGAGTAATTTGAACCTATCATTTTCCGCTTTATCTCCGGAGTATTATTTGAGTTAGTAGGTCTTCGGTAAACTTTGTGTTTTTTTCGTTTACCATGTTTGTGTTGTTTTTCAGTACTGCAGAAAAAGTGAGCTTACTCATCTGTATACGATTCTGCTTGTTGACAGTACTTTTATTAGCAAGAGGTTTTTTCAGAGTTTTGGTTTTTTTGAGTTCCGATTTTGACACTCGATGGTTTTGTGCCACAGAAGTTCCTGGTGTGTCCAAATGTCTAGCAATTTTTACATTGTGGAATAAGTTTAGAATTCCTACTAGGCTTTATGAGAACAATGGTGTGAAGAATGTGTTTGATTTCATAAATTTTCGTGATGTCTTCATTCATTCAAAAGTAGCTAAAAACACAATTTTAAATTTCCTTTGATTACTCAAATGAAGAAGTATTTAATATAACGAGGTAAAATTCCTTTAAAGCAAGCCACCTTATAACCAAAAATTCCCCAAATCGGACCAACTTTGACCTAACTTTTGGTATAAAAATGGGTTGAATTGGGTCAATACTTCTTTGACCCCCGGTATACCTAACCTATAAAGGTTTGCTATCTTCCATGTGATTTTATGCACATATGTATAAGCCAATATTTGAGTAATCTCAATGAAAATTACAGAACATGTTTCGCTCATAACAGTCTATTTTAGTACCCAGAAATGATAACATTTTTTTACCAGGGTTTTGGAACGTCCGGCTGACTTTGCTCCATACGATTGCATGCGAGGTGCTTTAATGAAACTCATGGAAAATATTTTTAGTGTATATATAAAATTGCTGAGATTCCGATCCTCTGGTTGACGTTTTACATCTTCAGGTATTTCCCTGGCTTTGATTCTTGCAAGAGTATAAAATGTTGGCTTCTTACTTGTTTATTCAAGATTTAATCAGCAGAAAGAGCGATAAGCGGAAAAAGTAAACAAAGACATTATATCTTTCTCGATAAGTTTCAAGCGTTACAAACAATCGTGAGGTGAACAAAACTATTCGTATAATACTCGTGCTCTTTGACATGTTGAAAATTAAGTGTTAAAAGAAAACAAAACAAGCAAAATTAAATTTAATGCATTATTAACTTAGATATACATGTGGAGTGTTCGTGTGGGTACGCCCTTCTACGACGAATTTCCAAAAAGAAAGAGAGCGATCTTCGAATTTTATTTGACATAAAGGTTTGACACAAAAGGAAAAGAAAATCATACATAGCGAAATGTCAAAGTAGCAGGTAGAGTTACCATGCTTAATACAATTATAATTAACTCCGAAATGAGTGGCGGTGCTGCCACATACATATGTATTATTGACCGCATACCCACTTATTGCAATTTAATTATTATATTTAAATCGACCTCACTAATTCAGAAAGGTACGAACTTAAATACAAGTATATGTGATGCAAACTCAATCAAGTGACTTAATATATATATCGAGTAAGAAGGGAGAGCTAACCAAATAATGGAAAGTCATTTTATTGGGTATTTGAGCTCTAGAAAAGGATCCAAACCAATTTTATTAATTAGGCCCTTTTCTTCGACAGCTTTTCGTACAAAAAAATAGGAAGATTTCAAAAATATAAAATAAAAGCTTCCCTAGCGCGATAGAGAATAACATTAAAAATATTCTCTCCAAATCGTAACTAGTTATCTGCAAGACTCTTGCATTGGGAGTGGAAACCGGTTCGAAAACCATATTCTGAAAAAAACGCGTTTAAAGATTGGAGTTGGAGCGTTTCCGACTCTGTTCCCATTCTACAAGAAACACTGTAGCGACCGTAATAATTTGAATTTCGATTTCAAAATTTGAGACAATGTTATGTTTCTACTATCCGAAAATGTACATTTTTTTCCAAAATTTTACATCGTGGCGATCCCTTAACTGTTGACAGAACCCAAAAGAACTCGAGAACCAAACCATTTTATGACAAAGGCTGACAGGCTACCCAAAATTAAAGCGTTGCCTCAGAGGGTTATTGAACTTAAAAAAGCTTTCTGGTATGAATTTAATATTTATTTTTTATATTCGTACAAACGTTTTTATAATTAATCAAATATGCTGTGTATAGTAAATAGGGGAAACCTGTACTTTACGTGCCTCTCTTTCTGAAATCAATCTTCCGATTAAAATACATACGTGGCTCACGGCGTATTTGAGCCACTTTATGTTTTCAAAAATAAATGAGTATACATTTTTAACTACAAAAGATAGCAAAAAAATAAAACAAATAAAACGCAGTGTTTAGTGGATGTTRAAGGAATAACAAAACGTTTAAATTTTATTAAATTAAAAAAAGGTTTCATAATTATTCAACTTAAATAGAAAATACGAATTTTTTCAATGTCACAGTTTATTTGACCCACTGCACTTAATGCACAGCTTCTCTTCCAAGAAGTTTAGCCTAACGGTGCTTTTTTTGTTTACACTTTGYTTCGCACACAGAATTTTCATTTTTGATTGAATTTTGTCAAGAAAACTTGTGTTACAACTATGGGAAGACGCACAACGATCGAACAACAAGAATTAATCCTTAAACACCACAAAAACGGACTTTGCCGACGAGAAATTGCAAAAATTGTGCATATACCAGATGTTACCGTGAAAGCCATCATCCACAGATTCGTTTTCGAAAACCGCATTGAAAACAAAGGAAGAAAAGCGTCTAACAAGGTAAACTACTACAACTGATAAACGCTATATTGTGYAAGAAATTAAAAAGGACCCAAGGATTTCAGCCTCAAAGTATCCAGTGAGATTCAGGACATAATCGGCAAAACATTTTGTACGGARACTGTCCAACGTGTTTTAAGAGAGCATAATTTTCACGGCCGAGTTGCTCGCAAGAAGCCGTTTTTTAATAAAAAAAAAAAATAGAGACAATCGATTGAAGTTCGCACAGGAGGATATAAAAGGGGATTCACGATTCTGGAATGATGTCATTTTCGCTGATGAGTCCAAATTCAATATTTTTGGATTCGATGGACGTTCATATGAGTGGAGAAAGCCCAATACAGAGCTTCAAGATAAGCACTTAAAGCCGACTGTGAAGTAGGGCGGTGGCCATGTAATGGTGTGGGTCGGCTGCAAGGTTTGGAAGGCTTCAGTTCATAGATTCAACAATGGACAAAATGCTTTATCTCAATATCCTGCAAGATAATTTCATTCAAAGCTCCGAGGATCTAGGAGCAAAGGACAATTTTAGATTTTACTAAGACAACGATCCCAAACATACTTCGGGAATCGTTCAAACTTGGCAAATTTACAATTGCTCACACATGATGAAACCCCCGACACAATTACCCGACCTAAACGTATTTGAAAATCTGTAATCCATTTTGGATACCAATACCCGAAAACGACAGTAAAAACGATCTTAAAGTTGCGTTGATGGAGGAGTGGGCGAAAATATAATACCTCCAGAAACAACAAACAAGTTGGTGGAATCTATGAAAAAGCGCCTAAAAATGGTCATAGACGAGAAGATAGGCCATAAAAAATATTAAAATTTTGTTATCCTTTTGTTAATTTTTATTTAATTTTGAATTGACAAACTTAGTTGAATAAATATGAAACGTTTTGTTATTTTAATAAAATTTAAACGCTTTCCTTCAATATTCACTAAAAACTGCGTTTTTATTTTGCTACGTTTTTTAGTTAAAAAGTTGTACTCATTTATTTTTGAAAATATATGGTGGGTCAAATAAGCAGTTAGGCACTGTACGTAAGCACAAACCAAGTAAGAGTAAATTTGAGTGGACCTTAATAGTTGCTAACCGCATGGGACACTTATTATACAATAATAAATAATTTTATTCATAGCTAATATATCAACTTTACCTGTATATGTGTGAAAAGTCTTGAGTAGCACTAATATTTCCACTTAAATTTTTACTCACAGCGTTCTTAAAAACTTCAAAAATGCTTGTCGAATCCCTTTCCCTTTGTGTTAAAATTAGTTCTTTAAAAGATTCACGCCAGTGATGTAGCCGACCAGAAAAACCCTCGTATTCATTCAATTTCTCCATTGTAATTAAAAAAATTGTAAAAGTTTATTTACAGCTTATAAACTCACATTCGATGCATACAAATTGAGAGGTTTTATTATATGAAAAATAACGAGTAAGGATAACAATATATGTACATAATTTAAGTAATTAATAATATTCTTTTGACTTAATACTAGTAATACACAGCACAGTAACTATTTTGTTTCCTTGCTGAACTCTCAAAACTATTTCATGACCAACGAAACATAGTACGACCGGTCAAATGTGTGCATATTTATATAAGCATGTATTGCAATACGTGCATTTAAAATATGAAAATAAGCATATAAGGCCAATATTTCGTTACTACTTTCAAGCATGCGCGTTTGCGCTGTAGTGTCGAAAAGCGTTATACATACGAGAGAGCCCGATAAGAACATAGACTCCATTATAAAAATTTTAGCAAAATAGCGATTTATTCTTCAATATAGTCTCTCTTTAACTCGATGCACTTGACAAGTGATGCTCTAATTTATTTAACCCGTCTGAAGACATCTTTTCCTGTATGTATGCAAAATAGAACTCCGTGGTTGTCGTTTCAACTATTCCTCATGTTATTGGTTGTGTTTGGTTTCTAGTATATGTCAGTGGCTTCACGTTTTGTCTACGGCCATCAAACGWTGCAGAATTCCTTTCGATTGAAGTATTTGGTATCGGCGCAGAATCTAACAGCGTGCATGCGCTCAATGCGTGATTTCCTTCCAAAAAGAACCGAATCATCAATCGATTTTTGCATTTTTATAAAATTTGCGTATATCTCCGCTACTTTATAAAGGAAAAGCAAAACTACGAATCCAGCTAAGTGAAATTTTAACAGTAATCTTCAGCGAGAATCTATTATCGGGATGGTAAAATTATTTTGCGGGAGAGACTTAACCAGGTGGTGATTCTATTGGGTCACCCTCGTACAAAAGTACACCGTCAAAGCATTTAACTATGGGCTTTCCATCGCGGATGATGACGATAATGYACCCTTTCTCAATTTATTAAAAGTAAAATGCTTATAAAGTAAAAGAGAGAATTATAATGTTACCGGTCTTCAAAAAGGTTCATAAACTCCCACAACTAAGATGACATCTGTGTTTTATATGAAAATACAYAAAATTTGGCATTAATTACAACCTCTATTACATATTTAATGGTGATTATCAATCTTCCAAACCTTCTTTCTAAACAAACATCTAGTAACATAAAATAATCATATTGACACATTCATCCCCTATACTATAACTAATGGAGATGGATAGAACGTTCTATAAGTTGTCGTCAAGTACATATGTATATGCTAACTGGTACATTACGAACGTTAACATATAAGCCGAGGATCCTAGATTCATTAAACGCATAATTACTGCTGACGAGACGTGGGTTTATAAATAGGACGTCCAAAAAGTAGCCAAGAGTAGCAAAAATTAGCAAAAACCAAAAAAAAAAAAATAAACGCTCTCAAAGCAGGTTAAAGATCAAGGTGATGCTCATTATTTTTTTATTAGAATTAGAAACCACTGTTGATGGTGTTTTTAAATGTCGAAAACTGAGTGAAGCGCTTGTTTAAAATAATAAAAAATTAAATAAATAGTAACTAAGAATAACTGAAATTAAGGGAAAATTCGCTTTAACTAACATTTTTTTTAAACGTTCATGTGTGATTATAAAAATGAAAATTTAAAACAAATAAAATGCGTTGAAGCCAAAAATATTCATGAATAGTGATTAATTATTCAAAATTATATAATATAAAGTGAAGACTAAATAGAGCACGACACAAAAACTAGAATCAAAAAGAATATAATCGTATTTTACATTAAAAAAATTGGGGGGATCAATAACCATCCAGTTAATTGCGAAAATATTTTACACGCAATAAAATCTGTTCCGGTATTTTGTTTCTTATATTTAGAAATAAAGCTAGAGGTGCAGTTTTCTTCAAGAAATTGATTGATCTGAATTTAAGGACAGCATTCGAAAAATTCGGCTTCTATTGCAAAAGTGGACAATGTCTTGGACATTCTCCTGGTTCTAGAGGACTATAAGGAATAAGGAGTTTGTACTAGTAATCTTCCTCGATATCGAGTGGATATTGAACAATATTTAAATACTTCTTAAATTATGCATCTCATTTTCAAACTTCTCTGCAATAGAACATTCGTGGCAGAATGGTTCCGAGCATAACGGAACTTGAGTAGGGGACCCTTCAAGGATAAGTTCTCTCGCCACTTCTGTGGTGTGAGGCATGATTGCCAACGATATTTTGAAAACAGTTTGAGCAAGTTGTATACCGCGTGATTGCCTACCCGTACGTTGTAGTTCTCGAGTGAAGGAAAATTTCTGAATACCGCGTACGAGCTAACTCAGGGGTACTTAAGTATCGTAAGCAACTGGATTGATGAAAACGGCATATCCATAAATCCTAGCAAGACTGATCTGATTTTATTCACAAGTAAGTGGAAAATGCTATCAAGGGACGAAAGGCGTCATCGGTTTGCTGACAGAGCTAAGCACCTAGGGCTCATCTTATACGGAACCTACTTTTGACAACAAGCTAAAATAAACTGAAAAGTATCTGACACAAAGCGGGAAATTTTGAATTTTTTGTCCCCAATTTTTTTGTCACAACTTTCATCGATTTATCTCCAGTAGTTCATGAGAAAATAATTTTACTTTTTATTGTGCTCTGAATTTCTGATTTCAATAACTTTAACAAAAAAAAAAAAAAGGATTAAGACGAAATATTTATATTATATAATGAACTGCTAAGTTCAAAATCGGGGATTGTGTTATATTGACCCCATTAAGCTCTTATTATTATTATTGCTAAATGCAAATTTTATAAAAAAATCTATCGACAGTGTGAAAATGGATAAAGTCGCAAGAGAACCCTGCTCACTCCCCATATAATGGTACTGTTCAAAATTACTAAAAGCGCGAAAACTCAATAACTAAATACTCCAGAGACATAAAATTTTACCACCGATATGGATGGTATAAAAAATTTAAAAATCGACGATGAGCGTGGAATCGCCACTTTTTGGTGTAATTCCATAACTCGGGACCCGACCAAACGATATCGACAAAATTTAGAACGTGGTTTTCTTTTTATATTTATATGTTTCGTTCTGAAAATGAACGAAATCGAACAAAAACCACGCCTGCTTCCTACATAGCACAATTTTAATTTCCACTTGATTCGTTCAGTTTCCAGCGATTAATATGACGGATAAAACTTTTCACGAACAATGTCTTTAGTGTCTGCCACTTTGTGACCAAAAATTCTTTAAGTCCAGTATAAACTGTTCATGCCCATAGGTACCGAATATTTAGAATCGGGTACCCACAGTTGATTTTTGGTTGAAAATTTCATTCAATGTGTGATATATATAAATAAAATTAAGGTATAATCCTGCACTTATAATGGTTTGTCTGTATGCCAAAAATGGGATGAATCGGACAAACACTTCTCTTAGCCCCTATATATAGCATATCGGCCAATATGTGAGTTATCCCAATTAAAATAAAAGAGCGTTTTTTACTTATAGCAGTGTATCTTTGTACCTAAAATAAATTTGAGCGAAGGCTTGGCCTAGCCCCTATATAACTAATATCAGGATTTTCGTAAATTCTGCTGACTTTACTCTATATGATTGGTTTTGCACCTTAAAGTATTTCCCTGGTTTTGATTCCTGCAAGTTGCAAGAGTATAAAATGTTCGGTTGCGCCCGAATTTAGCCCTTCCTTACTAGTTTAAATTTATAACTCACACACTGAACGACATATTCGTTTAACTGGTTAGAAAACGAATATTTAATAGAGGTGTGTTCAAAAAGTATCGCCAACGGTTTTTCAATCTTCGAAGCACTTCAAAAATCATTTATTTTTTATCTTCTTCAGCTCCTCCTTCGATGCCATCTTTATCTCGTCAAGAGAAGCGTAAAGTCGTCCTTTCATGGACCTCTTCAGTTTAGGGAACAAGAAAACGTCACAGGGGGCCATATCTGGGGAATACAGTGGCTGCGGCATCATTTGTGTGTTGTTTTTTGGCCAAAAAGTCGCGCACAAGGAACGATGTGTGAGCAGGGGAGTTATTGTGGTGCAAAAGCCAATTTTTGTTACATCTTCTCGGCCTTCTGAGAACATTTTGTACCACCGATAAACGTTGCTTCAATCCAAGGTAGCTTCTCCGTACGCCACAGTCAACATTCGGAGTGCATCCACGCACTTAATTTCGTTTTTCACACAAAATTTGATACAGGTTCTTTGATCCATTTTTTTGAATAGGTAAAAATCGAAGACGATCCAAAACACGTGCAAGAAAAGCAGCTGTCAACTATTAAATTAACATTCAAAATGGCTGAGCTTGTCGGCATAAGTGAGAGACATGAGTACAAACGTAGCATAACGCTATAAAAAATTCGAAATTCGAATATACGTAACCCGCGAAAATTCAGAATTCGCGATACTTTTTGAACACACCTATCTAACTATATTCAAATACATCTTTAACTATTTATTTTACGGCATAAAATAAATACGGTGTTTCCTCATTATACTAAAATATTTATATTAGGTATATGGGGACTAAGGTTAGCATTACCCCAATTCAACCTATTCTCGATACTCTGACATACTCTTCGGTAAAAGGTCAGCCAAAAGCGTTGCGTCTACAAATCTAGTACCTAGGGAGTTGAACAGTTTTGGTTCGATTTGTTTGGTTTGGTTTGATAAGTTTTTGTTTATTTATCCTGTTATATTAATTGRTGGTTTATTTATATACTGAGATGTGAAAGAATCAGAAAGAATTTAAAATTATTTATATCCAAAAGAAGGAGTGCTTCTAATCCGATTGAACCTTTTTCACACTGAAACATAGGAATATTAGAAGATTCTTGTGTACCGAATATGGGTGACATCGGTCGAGCAGATAAAACCGATTTCACCTATTTCCACACTGTCGTATGAAGAGTTTGAGTAAATTGTCCTGTGCAAGCTACACATAAATGTGTACTCTTTATTTATACTCTTAAGACTAACTTATTACATKGTTCTTACTTCTATTTATACTAACTGGTATATTTACTAATTACTAGTTGATAGTTTCTTTAAATCTTCTTTTTGATTGGCGTAGTCACGGCTTACGCGATTATAGCCGAGTTAACAACAGCGCGCCATTCGTTTCTTCTTTTCGCTACGTGGCGCCAATTAGATATTCCAAGTGAAGCCAGGTCCTTCTCCACTTGGTCCTTCCAACGGAGTGGAGGTCTTCCT